TTTGAGTCGCCTAGGGCCAGATACAGTTAAATAAAGGTAATCAGTATACTAGTTTTATATATAATATATATATATATATATATATATATTTACCTTAGTAATGGATTGAGGTCCGAAAAGAAAGCAACATAATGCCAAAGGTGGCACTACCGACTTTCGAAGGTTGGTAGTTGTACTGTTGTAGTATGAAAGGTTGAAAACCAAAGACCAAAATCAAAAGCCTACTCTTTCTATTAATTTATTTAGATTCATTTGATTACAAATTTGGTAACGCGCAAAAAAGTAGGGTAAATCATGTCAAGCCGGTTGCCTAGAGAATATCATAAGTTTTGTTTTGTTTTATTTATTTATTTATTTTTTTAATTTTTTAAGAATTCAGAAAGGCTAAAATTAAAAGATAGCGCTCGCGATAATTAATTCGACAGGATAAACACAAATGCATAAGAAAGAGAAATATTTATCGAAGGGGGAACTGGTACCCTACATCTTCTAGGCCAGGGTGCCTTAAAAGGGTTTGTCTCCCAATTTAGTAGTGTGGTTGCTAAAGTTGGGTGGGTTAAGAAGGAATCAGAGGGAGTGCTAATAATGTACAAAACCAAAAAGGTTAAAAAGAAAAGGGTCGAAACAAATTGATCAATCTTCTTTTTTCCCTTAAAATCCGGTTTCAATGATTTCATCTCTTGTCGGGGCTGTCTAATATTCCTTCCATCCCAAAATTATTGTCCAGTTTCGATTGTCAAATTTAGTTCAACTTATATTATAAATGAAAACTCAAACCGCACAATAATTTTGGAGCGAAGGAAATGAGAAGAAATACACGCACGGGTCTAGGACTTTAACAGCTCAGTAATAATATCAAAATGTTTTAATCAATGAATAAAAAGTGTCTAGTCTCATACTTGAATATTTGTGATGGAAATGTTTCCAATACCAACAACAATTCCCATTAATTCAAATGTATCAGCTCTACAGTAATTATCGTCACGCTTTTGAACTTAAGATTTTTTTCTTATAAATTTAGCGTATATTCTTATCATCCATCCTTTAATCTTGGACTTCTCACTTGTAATTCAGGCCATAATTTTGGAACTTCTACTCGACATCAAAAAAAAATAATAAAAAAAAATTAAAAAATCTATCCAATTAGAACATTAAAAATTTGGATTCGACCGTTTAGAGGAGGAGATAGTAGGAGTTCGGATTATGTTGACTCGTTCTTGTCTAAGATGACTCGTTTCTTTCATTTTTACAATGGGGTTGACACGAGTTAATAGTACTAAACTTACATTTAATTCGTTGATATGTTAGTAACACGGGACGGGTGTTCAAAATTAATGCCTCAATTAAACTTAGACATTGAATAAAAGCCATATAAGGTTTCAAACGCTACACTTTTATTTTATTTTATTGTTTTTGGGCTTGATTCTGCCTTCATTGCTTGAATATACTTTCTTCTGGCTAGCTAGGTTTTGAATTTGGCAAAGAATCTCAGGTAACACTTTTTGTGTTACATCTTTGGTAGAACGTTATATAAAATGATTCTATGTCGACCTACAAATATTGGCGACCGAGGGACTACAATAGAAATATATTGTTTGGTGATTATTTGCATGAGTGAGAATCGTACGTATAATAATATTCTTTTCGATAATTTCTTTAAGTTTTGCGCCTTATGAACAGTGTTTAATTTTTTATAATTAGTTGAGGTATCTTAAATTTTTAGTAGAAAATTATGTATCGAATATAATTTTTCGCATTTTCTAACTACTTTGATTTTCTGGCCATTATTATTTTTTTTTCTAAATTCAACACCTCTCATGTTGATTTCTTAGCCCCGCTACTGTTTATAAAAGTAACGGGGAATACTAAATCGGAAATTTTCTTTGAATTAAGTTAACATAAATGCAAAAGTAGTGTGTCGTAACTGTCAAACCTGGCCTTCTAAAACGACCGCCGTATACAAACAAAATCCAAAGTAATTAGGATGAGTTTTTGTCTGTGTGTTAATCATCACTCTTCTTTGGTACCGCTAACCCTATTCAACTATTCTATTTAAGAGGCACAAGATCCATCGCTCACCACTTTCCACATATCAATCAATTTTCATATTTCGTTTTTATTTATGATTTTGACTAGGACAACTTAACCTTAACATCATTTTAGTGTTGTGCTTAAATTAGGCATGTCTACGGTTCCAGAACCGACGGTTCTAAAACTACGATGATGGGGACTGAAATCGAACCTTGAGATTGCGGTTTCGGTTCTGATTTTGGAACCGTAGGTTTCGATTTGGTTATGATTCGATTTCGGTTCTAACATGAAACGGTTTTTCATTTGAGTATATTATGTTGATTTTTGAAACCAAAAGTTTAGATTTTCATTTAAATTTTATTTGGTGTCGGTTTTCATGGAATTTTATGAAGACTTTTATAATTTTAAATTATCTAGATACGTTTTTAAATGAAATATCCTATAGAACTTAAAGAATTAAATTAAATTAAAAATGTATAAAAGATCTTTTAGGAAACAGTTGTTAATCTAAAATGTAGTATCAATTAGACAATTACCAATGGCACTATTTCTTATTTTTGGATCAACTTATTATTTTCATTAAAAATAATTATTAATCATTATTTATAAAATTAGACACGAGATATGTGAAACACGTACATGTATTTAAAACTTTTAATTTTTTTATAAAATTAATATTAAACAATGGTTTAGTACGGTTAGAACCATCGGTTCCCAGTTTCCTAAACACTAGAACCATAACCAAGCTTTCATCATGTGGTTTGATTATGGTTCTTAAAACCGATTATGGTTTCGGTTATGAAACCGTAACTGTCGGTTAGGTTTCGGTTCGGTTTCGGTTAGAACCGGAACCGTGGACATGCCTAGCTTAAATACATTAAATTATGTATTCCTGTCTTAGAAAAATTTGAAATGAGTATCTAATTGTCAGTTAATTTTTACTATATAATAACAAAATTGTGATTAGTTGAGTTAATTGAACAAATATTAATTAAAATGTATTTTCTTCAAAAAAAAAAATATTAATAAGAAACTAGTAGACAAATCGATCGGACCAAATCAAAATAATGTTGCAAGACTCGGTCAAGTGTGTACGTTGAACCTAGTGTTTTTTTAAATAAATCAATTTTACATGATAGAAAATAATTTAGATTTGATGTCTGATTTGATTTTCCTTTTTTTTTATATATATTTTTTTAATTTTGAAAGGAAATTCCGAATGAGGTCTAAATGAATAAGGCTAATTACATAGATTTTTCTGGTTAAATTATAGCAACATCACTTAAATATGGAGGTGTTTTCAAATAATCCAAAGAGTATTTTTCATGAAAATTAGAAGTTTTCTTTTTTTTTTTGAAGAAGAAGTTAATTAGAAGTTAATTCTAGATACTTAGAAGTTAATTCTAAATAATTAATGATAAAATCGAAATGTTGAACTTCTTAAGCAGCGGAGAATATTACGCTAGCATTTATTGTTTATGTTTTTGTACTTTAGTTTAATCACCTCTTAATCCATTAAGATTGACTTTTTACTTACCAAAACATGAAGAAAATAAAAAACTCCTTAATTATATAATTTTAAGTAATAAGTGATATATTTAAAAAGAAACCCCTAAGTCATCCATATTCGGAATTTTTAAGATCTTGTTCAAATAAATGTGGTTCATACCACTTCTTCATAGAAATGTAATTAGACACGTGTCAATTATTTAACTAATATAAAATATAATACTCCTTTCATCCCATAAGCAATATAATTCATTGATTATTAAACCACACAATTTAAGTAGTGTAAGAAATAGTACAATTCACGATTTATAAAGTGAATTATTTTTGTGGGACAATGTCCTTTCCAATTAAAGTGTCAACCTGCATAAAACCCCTAAAGCACCGAAAATTAAATACTAGACTTTTATTTCCAAACAAATGTAAAATAATAGTATCTTTCAATATGTATATGATCAAAAATCCAATTTATCTTAATTTTTAAATAAAATTTTACGGAATTTGATTGATCTGAAGACTGTGTTTCATATGTTCGTAAATTACAATCCACTTAACCTATTTTGGGTTAGTCGGTTGAAGGGTATAATTGTTCATGAAGTTGTTCATTATGCGAAATCTTGTACGGTAATGAAGGCCTTCTGTTGTCACATTCAAACTGGCTATTATCCAGCGCTTTCTGATTGCACTTATAAAATTGATATGTTTTATCTCAAAAAAATAAATAAATAAAAATTGCTGGTTGCAGTTTGTTGTTCGTGTTCACTGGTAATGTTTGTCATGGTGGTGTTCTTCGTTTCTACTTGAAAATTTGTATAGTCACAATAGATTATAGATATATTATTTGGAGGTTCCGTCGGAACATTTAAGATGTACTTCCTCCATCCCAAAATTATTGTCAACTTTGAAATGTCACTTTTAGTACAATTTGAACTAAAAATGAAAATCTAAAGTGGACAATAATTTTGGGACGGAGAGAGTATTCGACATACGTCACACATCCAGCAATTGAATTGTGCTATGATATTGATTTTATTAGGTTTTTTCTCTGAGGAAACAATTTGATGATTCTTGGATTAAGTTTGTAAACAGTTGTATTATATAGTGACTATAATCTCTAGTTAAAAGTCGTGAAAATTTCAAACAAAATTAATGAAATTATCTTTACTTTTTTTTTTTTTTAAAAAAAAGGTTGATGATATACATCAATAGAAAGGAAAGCTGAGACAAAGATTTCATTTATAACTAATGAACTTGGATAACAAGGTAACTATTCTAGGATTCTCTTCATCATATATAAAAAGAGAGCCACACATAGATTTGAATGTCAATTTTTACTAACCCCACCACTAATCATCTCTCTTTGTGTATGTGTTGCAAAAAACTCTACCCATCTATCTATGTGCACACACTATATAGGTGAAAAGAAATGATGAAAAATTTGGGTAAAAAAAAGTTTCCAAAAAGACAAACCAAACACCACCTTTAATTTTCTCCTCTTTACCTTTTTGTATATCAACCTCAAAGTATTAGCTTTCCCACACAAAAAGTCCTAGATATATACCATCTTACAAGGGTGGGTGACTTTGAAATATGAGTTCATCTCCAAACATGGGGATCATCAGAAACTGCCATGTCCAAGACATCAACATGTGTTTCCAAGCTCCAAACAACAACTTCATAGAATGGCTCAAGCCCTCATCCTCCTCTTCATCAATATCATCTTCACCATCTTCTTCATCCACAATAACTCATCATCCACAAGAACAGCTACTTCAATTCACAACTATGAGCAATTTCTTGAATGTTCCACTCTTTTATCAACAAGGGAAACAAGAAATGGAAGATCAAGAGAGCATCCAATGCTTGCCTCTTATTAGCCAACTAATCGGAACGAAGACGGTGAAAGAGGAGCAAGATCATCAAGAAGATTATGATGAGATGGAGAAAGTGAAAGTGGCTTTAAATATAGGATTGCCCGATTCGTCATCAAGTACTACTGCTTATAATTCTTCTGATAGCGAGAATTACAAGCAAATTTTCAACTTGAAGGAAAATTCAAAGAGTGATTTAAAGGTTTCTTCTGGAAGTAATGGCGAAAGTAGATTTTGGATCCCAACACCAGCGCAGATCCTTGTTGGACCTATGCAATTTGCTTGTAACATATGCAGCAAGACCTTCAATAGGTACAATAACATGCAGGTTAGTGCTACAATATATAATTTCATCAACTTGTGGAATTAATGGATATAGTTTAATTTCTTGGCCTTCACTTGTATACTATTTACTTGTGTGATTTTGTTGCAAATTTTTTGTATGATTTTTTCTTGTAATTATTTCTTCCTTTTTTTCTTCTTTCTTTTGTTGAAAAACTCGTAACGCCTTCAATCGTGTTTTTGATATGGTATATTTTCGTGCATGAATGATTAAAGTTGATTGAGAAACCGCAGTACTATAAAAGTCTCATCTTCATGTGGAAAAACACATTTGGTGAAGATTAATAATCGGAGAAATTAGATGCGAAAAGTAAGGCTTCAAGGATTTGATTTGTACCAAAGTCTCAAAAGAAGAATTGAGAAGCTTCATGGGAATAAATTCCAGCCAAAACAATAAGATCCTCCCCTCCCTAGCTTATGATGATCAGAATTTCTAATGGATCGACTGAAGACTTCTTTTCTTTTCTTGTTTCCCCTTCTTAATTAAATCATGAGTTTGAAGTTAGATGAATGCTGAAAAAAAATGCAAACACATCCAATCAATTGCCTCAAGTCATACATCTCATATAGAATTGAATAAATTTCTTGTTGCTCTTCATCATTTCTGGCCTCATTCATCCATATTAAGATTGATGTTCATATTAAAAATTTCACTGTTCCAACCAAGTTAAACTTTTCTTTTAAAAGTCAAAACAGTAGCCTACATGCGTGTATACTATTTATATTGTTATATTTCCCTTGGCCTTTAATTAGTTTATAATGAAGATGCTATATCGATCGGCCGGAATCTAATAATTATGCCGATTACTATCTGAACCCTTCAATCTATATAGGATTATAAAACCAGCCGATAATTGTGATATTCTACCAAAATCATGTGAACCTAACTTTACTTTTTGTCAAATTGAATTAGGTATTATCCCTTGAATGTATAGCCTAATCTTCTATCGTTTCTCATCTTGTAAAAATTTCAAAACAATTCATAAATTTCTATTATCATCCCAAATATGAACAATCAGAGTTACAAAGGCTGGAACCGGATGCAATGTGCATGATACAAAATTAAGAGACCTTTAGGTAGTTTAGCCTCGCAAAAACTTGCTGAGATCTTTGCTCTAATCTTTTGTTGGTCTTTTTACTTGCATAGTAGTATGTGTTAAAGGTTAAAAAATGCACTACTGATGATAATCATGAAATGTGTTGTAGATGCACATGTGGGGGCATGGTTCTGAGTTTAGAAAAGGACCAGAATCCCTAAGGGGAGCACAACCAGCAGCAATGCTGAAGCTTCCATGCTATTGTTGTGCACAAGGCTGCAAAAACAACATCAATCATCCTCGGGCGAAGCCGTTGAAGGACTTTCGAACCCTTCAAACTCACTACAAGAGGAAGCATGGTGCAAAGCCATTCAATTGCAGGAAATGTGGTAAGACATTCGCGGTGAAAGGTGATTGGAGGACTCACGAGAAGAACTGTGGGAAGCTGTGGTATTGCACCTGTGGATCTGACTTTAAGCACAAGAGATCACTCAAAGATCACATTAGGTCATTTGGTGATGGACATTCTCCTCAGTTTCCTATTCCTGATGGATTTGATTGTCATGATGAGAAGGAGGAATGCATCACTGCTGGATCTGAAGATGAAAATAATTAAATGAAAAGCTCTACATCGATATATCGATCGTGCAGGTAAATCACTCGAATAGTCTCTTAATCTGGTGACCTAACCGATTCTAGATTATTGAGTCCCTTAATTTAACAAAGTTTGCAATTAAGTTATTAAACTGCAATTATTATTCTGATCAAGGATGACCGGATCGATAATTGCAGTTTAATAATTGTTTTCAACTTTTTTCTCTTTTTCAAAATGAAGGATGAATTTAATCCCGGATTAACGAGGCACCAAATTAAGATACTATTCAATTGATTTACTCAAAGAAAAAGAAGAAGAATTTTTTTTTTCCCAGAAACTGATGATGTGTTTGGAGGATTTTCAAGCTTGTGCTCGGTTGCAAAAAGTTCTAGTATGCTCAACAGGGAGAGGGAGCCGTTTGTTATGGAGCACTTGCTTTAAATGTGATTATACGTAATACGTACGTAGTATTGCTGCATGCATGGTTTGGTTTTTTTTAAGGTTTTTTTTTTTTTTTAACGAAGAATTAAGGTGATTGCTTTGAAGTGGTGAAGCGGATGAATTTTCTTCTTAATTTTTCTGAGGCCGAAAAAAAATGTAGAAAGAAAGATTGTGAAAGTTTGGATATGGAGAAAATTTGTCAGCTTCATTGCTAGGCTGTGATCCCAATGTAATGAAATGTCAAATGCTTTTTTAATGTTTATTTTGTTTTTGTTAATGTATAATGTATCTTTAGCTGTTGCTGGAACGCCCAGCTTCATGCCGATGTGAAAATTTTGTGAATCATTTTGTCACATATAATGTTGGATGTGTTGGGTATCTCTTTATTTGGATTGTGATACCATTGATTTCTCTTCCCATTTCCCAATGCATGCATGCATGGATCCAACTCATAAATCCAAGTAAATTCGGTTCAATTAAGTAACTCACAATAACAGAATAGAATAATTATTTTGCGACGGAAGAAGGTAAAAAAAAAAAAGAAAGAAATTAGTTCTCCAAATATCAAATACCATTCAAATAAAAGACAAGCGGGATCATGTAGCGAAGACTTGATTTTGACTTTCTAACTCATTATACATACTTGGCTGAAATAATGAAGAAGTTATGAATCATGTTGGGTCAATACCAAAAGACACCCTACAATCTACAAGTAGAGAGCAATCGATTCATGTAAGAACGATAGGGAACTATTTTGCTCCCTGTTAGAACAATAGATCAATTATTCCGACCAATCGAATTTAGAAAAAGTTATCATCTTTTCTTGTGACCAATTCAATTATATATATGAGACAATTACTATAGTGAATTGGCAAGTCAAGCCGGCATCAACGCCACAACTTTCTTTTTTTCCCGTCATCCCTTTTTCACTTTTATTTGCTCCAACCTCCTTTAGTGATCAGTTACTTGAAAAGTGAAAAAAAAAAAAAGTTGGTCCAACTTGGAGGCCACACGAACGAATTACTTGAAGTATACAATATTTTCAGTTAAAACATTAGAAAATTACGACTTCGCATGTATAATTATACAAAGAAAAGAAAAGAAAAACAAGACGTAGCTTTGAGAGTGCTTTCAACCAGCAAACTAATTCATGTTATATATTTTTACGGACTTGATTGTTAGAGTGCTGATTTCAGGAGAAAAAAAAAATTCAAGTACCTTATAAGTAACTTTTAATTCAGATTACGCGCGAATAAACCGATGAGCTTTGCCTTCAGACAACTGAATAAGAACATATTAAATCTTCATTATGAAAAAAAAAAAAAAAGGAGTCAATTAAGCTCTTTGGTCAATAACTTGATAAGGAGAAATCTTAATTTTGTAATTCGGTTAAAGGAAAATAAGGGAAGACCCAACGAATTAATATAATGTGTAGCTTCTTTTGAGGTAGGCATTGACCTGATGAGATCAAACTATCAAAGTGTGTCCACCAAAAAAATATTGAACTTTGGAGGTTAATGTCAAGGAGGGTGATCTCCCACTAAGGTTTGTCGAGGATTGTGACGCATAAAATGTACAACCAAAAGAAGAAAAAAAAAATGTGATTTTCTTTTTGAGAAAAAATAATAAACAGTTAATAGTGTTCACACAATGTGAAGAAAAAAATGTACAGTTCGACCACGGAGACTCATAGTCTCCCTAGGGCGTGACTTAGTTTCAGCAAGTTATAGGTTTTGTTAATTTTTTAAGATATTACACATCTGTTTGAGAATTTATTATTTTGATTAATTTGAATTTTAGTTGAATATAATATTATTTTTTAAATCACTTTAACATTTTGTACATCCATTTTCGATAATTTTAAGAACTATGAAGTATTAAAAAAAAAAAAAAACCTTAAAAAGGCTAACTTCCTCTTTACCTATTCTTTACTTCTGTCCTTAGAGAAATCATGTTAGGCTAATTTTGTGTCTTTACCTAGGGAATCAGGATCGATTCCCTCATTCCTTTTAATTCCTTATTATATGGTGGTATTGTAAAATGCCTTATTAATGATGAAAAACGAGTGCGTGTTTGTGAAATAACCAATTCTTCTTTTTCAATTCGATTCATAAACCACGTATGATCGCTTGTAATATTTTTTAGGATCAATCAAAATTAAGATGAAACAAGTTTAAAAAGTTTTAGAAAAAAACTTGAGTTCGAATATTAGGTCATAATATCTGACAAAAAAATTTAAAAAGGGGGAAAAATTTTCGTTTAAATGTTGCAACTTCAAAACTTTACCCTAAGGTTTTAATGTTTTTTTTTTCTTTACAAAAAAAAATAAAAATAAGAAAGATCAATTTGGTTTAGCACTGAACTCCACCCATTAGGCCCAATATTTTTATATTTGAGCGACCCATTACATTTATATTTGGCCCAACTCGGCCTACCAGAAAACAAGTCAGGCTTGAAAAGGAATCTTCAAGCACACAGACACAGTTGCTCTAATATTGTTTTCGAAATTAGACATGCAACTTGCAACTAATTGCATTTTATTACTTCTCAAAAAATACTATAAATCTCAAAATTTGATGTATATTATTTTTTTTTTAGCCAAAAGAAGACAATTTTTTAAAAACTTAATTGCATTAAGCTTATAAAGAAACATTACAACATCTAGTTGGAGTCTCGCCTTAGGCAATCTATGGCTATTTTCTACTAATATTCTATTTACATAGAGCAAAAATGATTTGACGTTGACCTGGAGAGAACCATGTTTTAAATGTCCTCCCTCTCAATGATCCACTACAACCGAGCTGTTTATTTTATTCGTTAAAATTCAAGAAATTTATCTAAAAAAAATTTTAAATATTTTTTTATATAATTAATCAGGAGTAGTACTTGACGCATCCTCAATTTTGAAAACAAATTACATATGTCGATGATCAATATTTACTCAAAGGAGAGACTGCATTACAATTTGTATTTAATTATTAATGTGAAAAATGATATGAATTTGTCCACAGAAGCACAATTATTTGGAGTCTAATTTTGTCCATAGAATAAGAATTAAATACACGTAAAGTGTTGCTAACAATAATATCCCCTAATTCTCCATCCCGTTAATAACGCAAGTACTTCCAAAACATCAATAACTCCAATCTTACTCTAATTTCCAACAACTAAAGAAATTGCCGAAGTATAGCGGAATTGTATGTTTTAGACATTCCCAATGCCCGAGGGTCCGGTCCGACACCCGTATACCAATACGAGACAAAAATAGATAAGAGCAGCTACATAAAATCCCGTCATCTTGTATCTTGTGTCACGTACTCTTTCCGTTTTATCCAATTTGAACAACAATTTAGTTCCATGAAGTAGACCCAAGACGAAAAAAGAAATTAAAAATGTCACAGTTATCTCCCCTGATGCTGATATTTCATTTTTGGACAATAATTTTGAGACGGAGGGAGAAAATACAATACATTTATAAGCAAATTGTCATTAACTATCGATCACTAAATTAGGCTGTGTGGTTTACTCTCTATTTTTGACACAGATATTAAAAATGTAGACAATATATCTTTGAACCGATAATGGAAATTCAGACAACCTAATAATAAGGTAGAATTCAAATTGCAAAAAACACTCATTGCGTCTGCATGCAAGAAGAAAAAAGAGTGAACCGGGGGCGAGGTTAAAGAAAACGAAGCAAACAAAACACTTGTCCGTGCGCGAAGCTTAGTGTATACATCCGTGGCAAGTAGACAGAATTTTTGTAAACACTTGCCAGCTTCAGAGAATGACAGATAACCCAGCCCACAAGACCACGTGTCTCTGATTTGATCAACTGCATGGCCGCCAGCTCCCACCGATCCCCTGAGTTTTAAATATTTCGAAGTTAAAATAATCCAAGGTTACCCATTTTCTCAGATGTTTTAACTGATGATGATGTTATGTTACTTCTTGAGAACTGAACTGAACTGAATTGCTCTGTGTGAAAAGGAAAAGGTCGTCTTATTGCAGTTTGTGAAGAATAACGTTGAAGAAAGAGAAAAAAAGCTGTACTAGGTTCAAGATGAAGGTTAGATTGATTCTTTGTTTGTTTTTTTTTTTGTTTTTTTTTTTTGAAATCTGGAGTTTCATGGGATTTTGGGTTGTCCATTTTTTTCTTTCTTCTTTTTAGAGTACGGAACGGAGCTTAATTTAGTACATGCAGCTCTTAGATGAATCCGATTGCGTAGCATAAGTAGAAGTTTTTGAAAGACTCTGCTTTCTCTTCCTCTGCTTTTGGCAATCCTATTGCATCTTTGTTTATTTCGATTTCTATGCAGTTTGGAAACATATGGAGCTTGATTGACTAAGTTAGATTCTAATTTGGTAGTAGAAGTAAATTTGTCTATCCTTACATTAATGAGGGGAACAATGAAAATTGGTCATGGTAGCTAGTGAAGCAAATGTTTACAGAGGTTGAGGGAACAAATTTGGTACAGATCAATTAAATTCATTAAGTTTTCCACTTGATTGACGGTACAAACTGTTTGTCTGATACAAAGAATCTGAATTTTGGAAATGGTAATAACCTGGAAATAGCAAATTGGAGAAAATTATCATGATTCACATGGAATTGTAAGGTGTGAATTTCTGTGTAGGTTCATGAAACAAGATCTCATGGTAATCAACCTGCTGAGGAGGAAAGAATGGTGACGAGGAAACAGAAAGCAGAGGCCAAAGGGCACGAAGGACAGCAATCCCCTAAGAAAGCGAAAGCCGAGCACCATGATATCGACCAACATACCGGCAAATCAACTTCAGAAATTGCTGCAGAGTTCGACAAATTCTGCAAGGCGACAAAGGAGCACCTATCCAAGGAGCAAATGCGAGAAATTCTCGAAGCCAACGGCCAGGATTCGTCGGTTTCAGACGATGCTGTTCTTCCAATGTGCCAGGACATCATGTTTCATGGTCCCCTGAGTACTTGTCCAGTTTGTGGTGGCTCTTTGATGTATAATGGCAGAGGGTATTCATGTAAAGGGGAGTTTAGTGAATGGTCAAGTTGTACTTATGCTACAAAAGACCCACCAAGAAAAGATGAGCCCCTGAAGATCCCTGAATCTGTTGAGAAATCTCCAGTTGCTGAAGTAATATATATAAATTGTTGCTCTTTGTTTCTGCTCGTTTTAATGTTAACGGCCACGCAGAACCGTGAATATGTGATAATCTGCATTTTACTTGATGGCTTTAGGTCATAAAGAAGCACCAGGATCCGAAAAATCGTCCTAAAAGGGAGTTGAAGCTAGCTGATAAGCCCTTTGCTGGGATGATGATTTCGTTATCAGGTCGTCTCTCGCGATCACATGTAAGTTCTGAATGAGGTGCTTTTCTCCTTTTCATTCTTTTCATTTCTTGATAGATTGCTGATATTTTATTTATTTGTAGCAATACTGGAGAAAGCAGATTCAGAAGCATGGGGGAAAGGTTGCAAATCATATTATCGGTATGAATTCATAACAAACATTGAGGATTCTTCAATATTCAGTGTTGAGCTTCAATGGTGTGAATGTAATGTTTTACAATTTCAGGGGTCACTTGCCTGGTCACATCATCTGCTGAGAGAGAACGAGGAGGTTCTTCAAAATTGACTGAAGCAATGTGCGCATCTTTTCGTGTTTTCTTGATTTCTTCACAAGTTGAGTGATTGAAAAGTTTATGGCTTCTCTGCAGGGAAAGGAGCATGCCAATAGTAAGCGAGGATTGGCTTATTGAAAGCATAAACAAAAATGAAGCACAACCACTGGATGCTTTCGATATTGTTAGCGATTTAGCTGTGGCGGGAAGAGGTATTCCTTTAGATAAACAGGAATCAAGTGAAGAAGCTATCGAAACTATAGCAGCAGAGTTGAAACTGTATGGAAAAAGGGGTGTCCACAAGGATACTAAATTGCAGGATGAGGGAGCGAAGATATACGAGAAAGATGCTATACTCTATAATTGTGCTTTTACTAGGTGCAATCTGGGAAGAGGATGGAATGATTTCTGCATTACACAACTGATCATTATGCCTGATAATAAGTTGCACTTCTACCAGAAGAAGGGTAGAATTGGGGAAGATGCCAGAGCAGAAGATAAGCTGGAGGAGAGGGATGATATTGGGAATGCTCTTAAAGAGTTTGCAAAACTTTTTGAAGAGATGACTGGGAATGAGTTTGAGCCATGGGAGCGAGAGAAGAAATTTAAGAAGCAGCACAACAAGTATTTTCCTATTGACATGGTACAGAGCAAGCTCACAGTTCAATGTGTTACAGTAATGTATTTGGGAGTTTTATTGCACCGAGGTATTAGTTCTGTTTTTAATTTGTTACTTTGCTGTGAGAATAGGACGATGGAGTGGAGGTTAGGCATGGCGGACTCGGCCTCAGGCAGCTTGGAGTCGCTGCAGCTCATAGTAAGCTTGATCCAATGGTGGCTAGTTTCATGAAAGTGCTTTGCGGTCAGGAGATATACAGGTAAAACTTTCTGGGATTGTTTTCCCTATCCTAGATTGGACATGCGGTGCCTGATTCCTTTGTTTTAGGTATGCCTTGATGGAGCTGGCATTGGATTATGCTGAATTTCCAGTTGGGATGGTCACAGATGTTCATTTAAGAAGATGTAAGGCCCATTAATACTGTAGTGTCTTCTCTGTTTTAGCAGCTCCTGACAATCACATTTGTGATGGTGGGCAGGTGAGGAAACACTTCTGGAATTTGTGCAGAAGCTGAAGTCCAGCCCCAGTGGACCAAAAGCAGATGCGCTGTGGTCTGACTTCAGTTCAAGATGGTTTACCCTTCTTCCATCTACAAGACCTTTCCGTTTCCGTGATCTAAGTGACCTTGCAGAACATGTTAGTCTTTCATTGAGTCCATAAGATTTTAAGCAATCTTCTGAAAATAAGTTGATAACAGATTCTTCATCTTGGGGTGATTCTACAGGGTGCAGCTGCATTTGAGACTGTAAGAGACATCACAACTGCTTCCCATATCATCGGTGATATGTCTGGTGGAACCTTAGATGATCCATTGTTTGACCGGTATAAGAAGTTGGGATGTTCAATTTCCCCAGTGGAAAAAGATACAGATGACTATAAGATGATAGTTGGCTACCTTGAGAAGACCTATGAACCATACAAAGTTGAAGAAGTGGTGAGCTTATTTCTGTTCCCTTTAAGCTAATCTTTAGATGATTTCAGAGTAAATCGTAGAATGTGACATTGTTAACATTTGTCTGTATTTTGTAGAGTTATGGTGTGTCAGTGGAAAGGATCTTTGCAGTTGAGTTGAGCGCATCCCCCTCTTTGGAAGAAATCAAGAAGCAACCAAATAAAGTATTGTTGTGGTGTGGTAAGGGGCCAACTATTCCGCTTAGCAGATTGTGTATCTTGATTAATGTTTTATCTGGAGCATTGATGCCATGTCTTGTCCACCAGGTACCCGAAGTTCAAATCTGCTCAGGCATTTGCAGAAAGGATTTTTGCCAGCTGTTTGTTCATTGCCTGTTCCAGGATATATGGTAAGAATCCGCTGTTGATACCAAATTGAGACCCACTTTCATGTTAGATGTACTAATTAACTTCTGCTGTACAGTTTGGGAAGGCCATTGTGTGCTCAGATGCTGCAGCAGAAGCTGCTAGGTATGGTTTCACAGCAGTTGACAGGCCAGAAGGCTTCCTGGTGCTGGCTGTTGCATCTTTGGGGGAGGAGATAACTGAAATTAGTGGAACTCCAGAGGTAGTAACATATCTTTCCATTTTGCTGAAAGTTTTTTTGCCAAGTGATCTTAGGATGCTTCGTACTTTGTTGTTGATCAGGATACAAAGCCCCTGGAGCAGAAGAAACTAGGAGTGAAGGGTCTTGGAAAAAAGAAAACAGATGAATCAGAACACTTCATGTGGAAGGGTGACATCAAAGTTCCTTGTGGGCGTCTAGTTCCCTCTGAACATAAAGATAGCCCCTTAGAGTACAATGAATATGCTGTCTATGATCCAAAGCAGGTGCCAAGTTTTCTCCCTCTGGAAATCGCATTATGTTCAGTTAATTTGCGGAGATTTTGCATTATGTTCAGTTAATTTGCGGAGATTTTGTTATCGTACTAATACTTATGTCCTCATGTAACTAGGTGAGCATAAGGTTCTTGGTGGAAGTTAAGTACGAAGAGCAAAATGTCGAATATGATGTGGAGGAGTGAAGCTGCAGGGATCAAGTATGGCTTGGGTGTAATAGCTGAGAAGGGATGTACATATATATCTTTTGGCCCTTCTTAGTATATATCAGTAGCAGGAATCAGCCTTGGGTATCTGCTTGCTTGGGCAAGTATTATTTTGCTAGATGTAGTCTGACGTTTGACGATGTAGCACGTAAGACTGTTAAGTTGTAGGTTAGTGTAAGAATGACTCGTTTTCAGCCTCCTTGTTTTATGGTCTTCTTTTGCTATCAAATGCTGTTGTAAATTCTGATCATGTTGATTCTCACGGTGATGGTTGCGCTTAGAACTTTGTTGTTGTCTTCTTTCTTCTTATTTATATGTTAGTCCTCCATTCGCGTCCCCAATGCAGCCTCAAGCTGCTGCTCATTACCGTGAACTACTTCCCCATGAACCAAACGAAATGCGTACACTAATAATTGGGAGTTAATAAGCGCAACGGTTGTACCCGAGGAGGCAAGTTTGCTACCTGAGAAAATAAGCATACACGAAGATCCCATGCTGCATTCTCAATCAAAATTCTTATCAGTGAAAGCCAAGTACGCCTTGCTGGAGGAGTTGACATCCACTGTGTTGATGAACCGGCACAAGATTTGATGATTCACGCTGAATACTATGACCATCGATATATATCTTCTTTTTTCATGTGTTGAAGAACTTGGCATGATTGTGGAAGAAGAGAAGCTTGATGAACACTTGGTTGCGTAATTTGGACATACGTGCAGAAGATGAAGCATGTCAATCCTTTGGTGATCTGCTGCATAATCTAGACTTAGATACGACATGTAGAGTAACAGTTCCTGGTTTGGGCAGTTGGTAAGGCTAACAGGAAAATTTCCGAACATCCGCATGTTGAAATGCAAACTGTTGGGGGTGCTTGGGTGATCCAGAGAAATAAACTGATGACATTGTGTTCCCCAGGCAACTAGAAATACGCAGTCGTGAAGAATGCTGCGGTAGATCTTAGACGATGTATTCACGGCACAAAGCTTCATTTCCAGTTCCCTGATCTGCTCTTTCAAAATTACCACCAATTCACTGTTCAACTCCTCCGTCTTTTGACCATCTTTCTGAAAACCTTCTTCTGTTGTAGAAATAGAATGCGTAGTTGATAATTCATCAGTGTTTTGCTCCTTGGGACATTGGTAATCATCCTCTTTCTTCATCTCCAATTCACTGCTTTTTTTGGCAATCTTTCCAAAAATCTTCCAACAATGCTGTAGTAGCAGTACAAAGCTTCTTTGGCAATTCATTAATGAATTGCTGTTTCAATTTTCCACAATTGTACCAACATATCTCCACCGATTGCTTCTCTTTTGCCGTCAACCCTTTATCTTGTTCTATCTTCTCCAGAGCATTTCCCCATCCTCTCTGTATTTTCTCAAGCTTACCTTCAGCATGAGATTGCTGATTTTCATTGCTCTCATCGCCATAATCGTCATTATTGGAGACAGCTTCAGATTGCTGATTTTTGTGGCTATCATCATGATCATCATCATTGCCGTTGTTGATGTAAGTTTGCATTTCTTCTTTATCATTGGCATTTTCTTGGCCAATAGAATCATCAATTATGGTAGCAGCCACCATCTTGTTTGGCAGCCTTAATCTCTTTGTGTTCCTTTACTAATTTTACGGCACTATTACTCTGTCTTTCGGGCAATAATCTCTCTTCAATAACACCACCACATAGAAATTCCTTCTCATAACCAAACCATGCAAAGTATATGTTTAGCAGAGGAAAAAGAATCGCAAAGCAAAATTCCGGAACCATAATCTTCCAGTGAGAATGATCATTCGTTGACTGAACAAGTTGAATCCCGAATGCAAAAACTACCAGAGCTAGTCACTCAAGACCAAACTTCAGGGGAGTTTCTGACTCTGTTAATTGAACCCATAGCCACGTTTTTCAGCAATTGTTGTTGATTTCCCGATGAGTAACAAGCAGTACCACGAATTGGTACATATCCAAAAATAACACAAAAGCCTAATCTTTCAACCCAAAACCTTACTCCTCTATACTTCCAAATGCTTGTTTCAAATCCTCTGCCTCTATCTCCTGTTTTGGCAAGAAATTACGAGGAAGAATTTAGAAACTCAAGTGATAGTATGTATATACCAAACCAATCAGATCAAACTAATAGGAATTTTAAAAGGTATTACTCTCTCCATCCCAGAATACGTAAACTGTTTTTAGGGAGTAAAAATAATGAAGACCCAAAAATTACAGAAGTTATTGATGCACCTGACTTTGATGATCAAGAAATCCAGGTTTTCGAACAATGCGAAGGCTATGTTCAACATGGGAACCATAATGATGAAATAAAATTTCAACATCGATTGACCATAACTTTCAGTCATAACCACAATTACCAAATACGTAATCCAAAATTAAGAGTGGAACATGCACTTCTAATATCGAATTAGGCTGGAACTATATTGTTTCCACTATCAGCATTCAGGCATTCATGACAGTCTGTGCTGTCAATTTTCATTGTAATCCAAAAAAAAAGACACTGTAATCCAGCAAAAACAGGAAAAGAAAAAAAAAAAGATGCAATATCTGCTTGCAGACAATCCAAACTATACAAATTGAGTATACAATTTCATTTTCGTAATCTGAACAGTTTCGAACGCCCCCCAGCGATTTGGGGGTGATCAGTGTCTGACATTCAGACACAGCCTATTTCTTCTGTTTGACCTTTTCACCTCTATCAAATCTCGTGTACCTATCTTAAAACATTAACAGACTAACCATAGACCCAAGTAAAAGTGTGAACCTACAAAGCTAACTGTTTTCAAAGTGTGAATAAAGTCATTGATATATAACAACAGGAGGGAACTTGAACTTCTCGGAGATGAATGGTATGGCTTTAGGTCTTCTCACCAGATCATGATATAGATCATACTCTGCCTCATAGTCATGCAAAGGTAACTCACCTTTCTGATTTGTATGGTAATGATGCTTAATATCAGTAGATTTCCCGAATCCGAAAATACTAACTTTGTCACAAACTCCGACAGCAAGCATCACTGCTTGCATTCCTGAAGAGTAGTGAAACAGAAGTCCTTCATGGAGAGGCGACCACTGCTCAAGATTCTTTCCAGTTGTCTCAGCAAACCTTTTCAGAGAATAGTACTTCACGATCCTCGCACACAGCACATCGAAATGTGAATCTGTCACGATCAATGGTGCCCTTTCAGAAGAATTGCAAGCCATATAATCAAAGAAATGTGCTGGCTGGCAGATGTACATGATAATAGGTACATTGACACCATATGGATGGCAATAACAATCTATCCTCCGAGCACAAGAGTGTAATATATGGCTATTCACGAACGATATGGTAGTTTTCTTCCCCACATTGGCTTCAAAACTTGATATCCTGGCATTATTCAACCGAATAACCGCCTCATGGCTATCAATTAGTACTCCATATTCACTCTTCAACAAAATCCCACTATTCCCAACAACTGCACAAGACTTATACTTCCTACCCGCCCTAATCTTTTTACCAGTGTTTTCATCCACAAAACCTTGAACTAAATTAACCACATCTAGCATAGTATCTGACTGGAACCTTCTATTTCGAAACCAACTACGTAAAATCCTCCGAAAACTCAACCAAACCTGGTAAAACTCCGGTGAACGAAGCTGAATTGGCAACCCCCTCGCCGACTTAGCTGCCAAATCAACCCTGTATTTCCCAGCAGAGAGAAACGATCTTTGCCGACCCTGGTTCCCAAAATTCCCATCTAACAACGCCTCAACTTCCCTCTTCAACTCAGGATCACTGAGATCAATGGAAGCATAGTTCAAGAGGGTCTGATTCAACGGCGGAATATCCGCAATATCCCCAAATAGGAGGTCATTTCTCAGCTGAATAAACCCATGTCGCATTGAAACACGAACAGTAAGAGCAGCTACTACAACCATCAAAAACAGTATGCTCAACAAAGGGCGAAGGGTACGCTTCATTTGGATTCTTTTTTTCGAAGTTCAAATCAAACAAAAAAGCAAAAGAGATCTGAACTCAAAAAAAAATCCAAACCCCAGTATATAGTGCTAAAGAAAATGGCCAATAATGTGCAAGAATTTGGTAAAAATAAGAATGTTCCTAATCTGATTCATATTCGCAACAAATTTAAAGAAACCCAAAAGAGGGCGTACCTTGAATAATCAACAACTGACCCTCATACCATCCACATCACCCAAATCATGACACAAGAAATGCATTGCAAATGGGGTTTTTTATAGTGAAGTAGGAGGTGGGATCTAACCTAAACATTGAACCCATAACAGCAAATGGCGTCATGTGGATGGATTTATAGGTAAAATTCAAGTGAAAGGGGTCACACAATCAGCCTTATTTTCTGGGTAGAAGGACTTCAGGAAGGGTAAGAATTAGGAGGACGGCAGATTTGAGGAAGATGCTCATACAGGGGAGGTGAGTTTGAATGGTTTTAGCGGATTGATTTGGTGGTGATTCAATTTGGAAAGGAATCTCTAGTTTAGTAATCATCTAAGGAGGAATCTTGTTGCATCTGGGAGGCGGTCGCTTTCTGAAAATTTTTTGTGTTCGATTGGGTTAAAGCTTTTTCCCAATTGGGGGATTAAGATATAAGATTAGAACTTTAATTAATTAAGATTGTCATCTACGATTTGTATGCTTTTGTGGCTGTCAATTTGACTGACATTTACGAGGGAAGAAAGAAGGTTTTCTGAATTTTCTTCTTTCTTTGGGGCCTGGGAATTTGTTTATTTTTATTATCATTTTCTTTTTTGGGGAAATTTTATTACTATCATTTACTATGTTATGGTGGTTTCCATTTTGGGAAAAGCGTTTACTCATTCCATCTCAATTCAATAACCACAGTCTTTTTTAGATGTTACTAAGGGTTTGTTTGTTTTGTTTTTTTAGTGTATGTTTTTAGGTATTTTTTGTATTAGGAATGTAAAAAGATGTATTGAAAATGTAAAAAGATATGCTGGGATGAGACAGTTAATAATAATTTACTACTTATTGTTTAAAATTATTCCACTAAGTAATCACTTAGGGTCTGTTTGTTTATTGCTTAAAATTATTCCACTAAGTACTTATTAATTTCAGAATGTTTGATAAAAAAAAATGAACTTCTTATTGAATTAAGTGGTGATGAAACTGCAGTATAAAATATAAGTAACAAAAGTTAGTTTAATGCTTATTTTGTAATTGCTAATGAATTCAGTATTTCTTATTCAGTATTAAGTATTCAGAATTAAGCATTAATTTTTATCAAACAGGCTCTTACTATCTCTATTTGTATTTTTTTTCTATCTATTCGAGGTGAATTCGATATTGTCTTTATCTATCCTATTTTATAATTTTTTAATACAATATTGAATACATTTTTTCATTTGCACACTTATCTCTCGTTACTTTTAATGACATGTATTAATCAAAATTAATTATTTTTAATTCAATTTTAAATTTTGTGTAATCTAAATATTTTTAATTTGATGCAAGAAAAATATTATACTTAAAAAATAATTTTTTTTCCTTTGTAACTGTACATACCCTAATGCAATAGATAAAAAGTAGGGGTAGTAAACTATTTTATACACTTTTTAAAAAAAATTCTCTTAAATCGGAATGGAATTGAAAAAGAATATATATTGTTTTAATAGATTGGACATGGAGATTTTAAACCATGATGATCATCCAGGTAATGATAGTGATAATTTTTCACATCTTTCGCGTATCCTTCTTACCTAATGAAGCAGACTATTTAAGAAGAAGAGTAAGTCCAATAAACAGAACTGGAAATATCATCAAGAAACAATGAACCATATTTATATTTTTCGATAAAATCATATCAATGGATGAATATTCCTCTTTGGGTTCCGATCCCGTCCACTAGCCATTACAATTTACAAGAGATCATCTTTTAAATAACTCAACTCAAACAATTAATGTTCTCTCAATTAGAGCTTTCATTGAAACTTGAAAGAGAGAGAGAATTCAAAACTAGTAAATAATTAAGAACAGGGGTTTCACCCTTTTTGGTAGGATATCCATAATTATTTACCATTGGAAAATAATAGGGAGTTATTAGCTTTGCGATTTGATGATTATGTCATTTTTTAATTAGAGTCTCATTTCATTATGAATTGTCACTGATTTATATTATTGTTCTTTATTTAGGCCGTTATGTATCATCATTACTGTTGTGGTGACTCAAAATGCTAACATATTGATAGCATAAGGAGCATGTTACAATTATGTTATACTTTAGCTAGCTTAGCATTATTAAAGGTGATGACTTGTCATAAGTAGGTTGGAAAAGAAGAAGGAAATCATGGAAATTAAGTTGAAACGAAAAACAGCAACCTTTCACTAAAGGCAACAGCAAATGGTCAATTTTAAGACTTGGAAGGGAGATTCTTGAAGCAAGAAGGAAAAGTAACTGGTATCGAAACATTGAAGAATCGCTCGAATAAGTCCCTTAATTTGGTATTTTAACTAATTCTTCGAAATATTTTTTAATCAATACCTAATTAAAGATACTTAGGATGATGGGGTAAGTAGTGAGGTTAAATTTCAATTGATGGAGATTAAGACGTGAGTTGAATGGATGGGGGCATGGGGCTCAAAAACGTCAATAGTCGATGGTGGGAAGCGATGTCAAACTATCTCTCACTCTCTCTTTCTTTTTACCCATTTTATGACAAATTTCTCTAATCAACACAATCATTTTAACTGTGTGACAGAAACATATAAATTTTTGTGAATAAAGATAAGCGTAATATGCACATTTTACTTTGTCTTATTATTTTGAATTTGGCCCCTAACAATAGTGTTAATGAGTTGGCTAGCAAATAAAAGGCGTGACTTTAAGAGCAACGAGAATAATTTCGAACAGAGTTGTGTGGTGGCGTCACAAGCTAAGAATCTTTAATACTAAGTACTCGCAGTATTTAATACTTTCTTCGGTCCTTATTATAAGACATTTTGATTTCGTTCTAGGTTTTACCTAAAATGTCTTTTTCATTGAAATAAAAACCTTAAAAATATTTCATAATAATTATGCGAACACAACGAATGTGAAAATATATTTTTAAGATTTTTGTTTTTCCAGTTAAAAGATATCCTAGATGAAATCTAAGACGAAATCAAAACGACTTATAATGACCGGAGGGAGTACAAATTAGGATTAAGTTATCTTAATATCTCACTCGCTCTTCGGTAAAGATAATAAAGAATAGTGGGGATGTTGATAGGCAAATGGACTTGCATTTCAATCCACTGAGCACATCAATTAGATGATACTTATTGGTTCATTTCCCACTAAGCACAAAAATTAGATGATACTTATTGGTTCATAAATTATCGTATGATACACCAGCCGTGATGGAACGGAATTATTATGATTTGCCTACTTGGCAAAGTCTTCCCGCACAATTTTTTCATTCAAGAAGGGCCGAAATACTTCATTTTTTTTTTTAAATTGTGGGATGAAAATCCAACACCTTTGTAATTTAATTTGGAATCAAACTTTGGACAAAAGTTTTTCTTATATTATAGTCAAACAAAATTGAGTTAATCATTAACAAAATCGTATTAATTTGCTCTTTCAATTTGTTATATAATTTTAGTTCAACAGAATGAATTATTATTCTAAGGTAAGAGGACAGTAGATATTATTTATTTTTTGAATATCTTCATTGTTGGTTATTGTTGTACATGTCTGTCTTTGGCTTAAAACACGGTTATGTAAAACAAACATATCGTGCAATCCAACACTTTAACACAACCATACTCAAACCATAGAAAAAACCAATTGTTTGTCCATTTGTGACAATTTAGCTTTCGAAAAAGCACGCAAGCCTAGCTATGATATTATCTCCACCAAATATTTCCTCTTCTTTTCCTCAACTTTTATGCATAAATGGCGGATATATAGTCATCTAAGTTTTCGCCATATCGATCGATCGTCTTCGTTTCTTCTCTTCTATTGACTTCCGGAGTAAAAGAACAACTCAAGAGAGATAAGGTTTCTTTCCCAAAGAAATCAATAAATAAATAAATTAAAACCAAAAAAAAAAAAAACCGATAAAGTGCGTTATGGGTTCCTCGAATATTGTTATTATGAAATTAATCCACCATAACCCTACATAGAAAGGACCAATGTAGTGAATGTTTTATGATCTACTCCATCATGCTGGAGGCAATTAATTTAATAAACTAGCTCTTAGGCCAGTTGGATATTCAGCCTTTTAGCGTATGGAATTGGAGGAATTCAGGGAATATATATATACATATATATTTATTTATTTTTTCCTTTTTCCTATATGGTCTCAAACTCAGCCAAATCAATAATATCTTGCCAAGAAATGTGTTACACTTCCGTCATAAAATAAAGGGTCATATTTGTTATATTATACCAGTTTGTCAAACATGACAAACACATAAATTTTGAACAAAAAAAATTCTTTTTGGTTAATGGTAAATTATAGTATGCAAATTGTGAGAATACTTTTATTTTTATTTATTTATTTTTTGAAAAAAAGCCCGAGAGTTTGAAGGGAGAGTAGTACTCTTTTAGCTAATGGTAACTTAGAGTTGCAACCTGGATATCACTGTTCGGTTTTTTCAAGAATGAATAATGTTGCTACTAACATCACAGTAAAGTTTAAACCACCTCCATTATTTGTAAAAAGGAAAAAAGATGCATATAAAACAAATGTTAAAAGCCAACTCTCTATAAAAAAAAAAAAAAAAAATCCTACGTAAACTAGCTAGCGGCATGTGAGATTTAAAGTCATATGTTCTTCGTCAAATATCTATTGGGATCGGCACGGGCGTTATCATACAGAAGTTTGTTTGAATATTTTATTGGGAGAGTTTTATCTTCCAAAAAATTATTTTACTTGGAATTTGATATTTATTCATTTAAAATTATTTTGGATTTTTCTATTTACCTATTTCGAACGAAAATTATTTCGAATGAGATACCCATTCCATTATGAAATAAATTTCGCTGGAGAGATACCGTAAAAATTAGGGTTAACATCAAAAACATCCCCGAGTTTTGATTCATTATCTAAAACACCTTTTCCTTTCGAACATAAATAAAAAACATCCATTGACCAATTAAACTTGAAAGTCAGACGGTATGAGCAACTAAATGCCTCAAATACCCTCCCAACCCTTAAAGAATCCCCCACGCACTACTATCCAAAGAAAAAGCGAAAGAAAGAATCCCAGGCACTTGAGTCTTCTCCCGTCGGCCGTCTTTATCCCATTTTCTTGATCTTTCATCATCACTAATTAATTAACATTCAAGGTAAAGTTTGGTTTGGTGGAACTTAAAACCAGCCGCCGGCCAAGAATTTTGCAGCAGAAGGGGAAAAAAAAGAGAAGTGTTTTGAATGGAGGGCATAAGCGGCTTTACAATATTTTCTTTTGCTGACATCATACTTATACATCATCTTCTTGGTGTCAGAGGATTATTTACCTACTGCTCAAAGGGTGGGTTTGATATTTTCTTAAAGGATGAGGCTGTTTTAGATTAATCAATTGAACTTCGAGGGTGCTTTTGATATTAATCCAAAAATGTTAGGAGACAATAATAATCATATATCTTGCTAAATACTTTAACATTCTCATTTACTCTCAAGTCTCAATACAATTGTAGTTTCAAAAATATTTTGTTCTAATCCAGTTCTACATTAAA